AAAACATCAGCTACACCCCTCAAACCTTCCCTGAATAAAACACCAGCCCTATAAAGCTACACCCCTCCAACCTTCCCTGACCTGCAGCACCAGCCACCCTCCTCAGGTCTGCCTTAACCACTCCATTATTCACAGCACAGGCCTCTAATTACATGGCTCTCCCTGTGAGCCTTTTAATTACTGCTGCATTCTTTTGTCCTGCCCTCTTGAATTTCTCACAATCATTCAAGAATTAATGGCAGGAAAATAACCCACAGAATTAATTGCCTAGAGAATTCTTTGGGCAACACTTGAGTCCAGTTTATCTGCATCCATACAAGTAAAAAGTGGAATGGTATTGAATATGCTCCTTGGATCTTTCCCTATCATCTTGCCAGTAGGAAAGCTTGAAAAACCAACCATTTTAGCTCATTTACAGAGATGTTTCAGTTATATTTAGCACTTCTAAAAGGGCAAAGCACTTGAAAGATACACACTTATTTGGATGCTTAAATATCTTTCCAGCAATATGTTTCTTCTCATACATTTGCAAGGTGACTAACTGCTTTGCTTAGTTCATTTTTGAACACTGTACACTGGAAAAACACTAATTAATTTCATCATTTTGTCAAATCAAGAAGCATTTAAAAAAAACATTCTTACTGTGAGGGATGCAGGCAAAAGCAAGATATGACACACAGCTTAACAAAGAAAGTGCCACAGAAAGTGATACTGGCATGCAAGCAACTATTAGCTCTCACCATGGACTAGTTGCACATAGTTTTAGGGATGTAACTCCTAGCAAGCACCCCCAAAAAATTCATATATTTAATCACTCAACCGGTGTTTTGATATGCACACAAGGCATTTAGGTTTGCTTTTTTTGTTGTTGTTTTTTTTTTTAAGGACTAAAATGCAACCCATGGCAAAACAAATCTAAGCACAGATTGGGGAAGCTGACAAATCAGGCCAGAAAACACCTTTGAAAATAATTAAGAAGCATTTTTTGAAGAATTACAACGTTTATGACAGGACTTGCCACAACCAGATACAGTAGCCTTTAGGATGGACTTTGAGTGCAGTTTTTGAGATGCAATAGATGGGACACAGCACCTACCTTGAGTGTTTACAAAGTTTACGAGGTCTATTATGCAATTTCCGATCCCAATTCTCTGGATCACTGGAGTTACTGTCATAAGGATGAGGCCGTCCTGCCATTCCACTGCCAGCTTCCTCACACTACTGCTCTGAAAAGCACACATGCAGCACTCACAACCTACATTAAGAGAGCAGTGTTTACCTTTAAGTAATGCCACACAGGAAAGAAAAGTCAGACATGCAGAATTTAGTGTTGTTAGGTTTTGATTTTTTAAATGCAGATTACAGAAAAACAGGATACGCTGAAGCAGAAATTGCATGACAATAATATTTTACACCTTTTGCTGATACCTGCACTAAAAAGAGTCTTTGGTTATAAAAAAATATAGTTCTGTAAATGCTGGCAGGCAAATTCAATTTTGCAACAATTAAATTCACTGTGTCCAAACAGAAAAGTCACTGTTATAAAACACAAGACAAACATACCATGATTTTCTTTCAAATGTATAAAGTTAATTCAAAGGAGGATCCCAAGCACAGAACAGAGATCAACAGTTTTACACTTTGAATGGCTGAGCAAGAAGAAAACAGAATTAACATTTACATCTGAGTCCTCACTACAAAATGGAATTAACAGCAATCCTTAGAGACACTCAATGTGGTCCAGTTTCACTGACTTTTGCAGAGAAGTCACAAAAACTTAATAAAAATAGATAGAATAACTACCCTTCCTTAGTGGGGTCTGATGTGAGGTTCAACTCCCTTCAGAATTCTCTCCTGGCTCAACCCACCCAGTGACTGTCAGCAGAGACAGCCAATCTCCAATCTCTGCTGTTCAATCAGCTCTAAGTGACACTTGTGGCAACAGTCGGATAATTCACAACGACCTGCTTACAAAAACTATAAAGCAGCCACAAGGGAGCAGCTGATGACTGCACAACATCTGGGAAAAAACTGAATTACAGATAGATAAACCCTCCTAGCAATGGGAAGTCTACTATGTTTACTTGTATTACATTCAATAAAACTTATCCTACATGGAAGTGAGTCCCAAAGCAACTGAGATCTCTTTAAAACAAAGTTACTTCTCAAATAAACTGTCCTTTAAGTCATGGAAAATGAAATAGCTCTCCCGGCAAATATAGATTCTCCTAGCTAAATTTAGACCCAAAAGTTTTTATTACAGGGGAAGAAGAGAACAAGCTTCTTAAAAGTGTTGGTTGCATCCAAGTTTTGCCTTCATGTTCAGTTTTACCCAAGCAAACAGGTTTAATACAAAGTATACAGTCTCCACCACAGGGTTGGGTCTTTTTCCTGTTACAGCTGCTATAATTAAATGCACTTTGATGGGAAGACTCCTATGATCAGGTGTCCATACAGAGTCAGGAAGAGGAAAAAACATTTTTATTTAAAATTACAGGAAATACTCAACTTTCTCATTAAAAAAAAAAATCCTGATAAGCATTTCATTGTGTATTACCTGCAAAGTCAGGTTAGCAAAGCACAGTCAATAAGTGAGGGTATTACACAGAGAAGGTTGTAGGATCTGCACACATTTATCAGGAGAAACAGGGAGAAACCTACAACCTGTGTCAGAACAGAAAGAGTATTATTAAGGAGACTGGGGGAAGGAAGGCTGGCTCTGAACCCAGGGGCCGTGGTTCCCAGCTGGGGTGCAACACCAGGCACACACCCATAGGAGAATAAAGCCACTTTGTATCCCCAGCTGAAACAAACTGTGTTCATTAGATGGAGCTCTGCAGGCAGGTACAGCCAGCCTGGCTGCCCACGGCAACAGCAGCGTGTGCACACCGAGGCGGGAGCAGCGACGGCAGCG